AAGAGGAAAAGAAAAACAATTGATGCAGGTTGAACTTTGTGAGCTAAAACGTATGGGCGTGGAGCTATAGAAACTACTATGTCCCCCTTTAAAAAGGAAAATATACTTGGTTACCACAACCTCTGAACTTCGTCGATCTAGGAGTTTCTTCACAATTCCACGAAATAAACAACGGTTCTATACCAACAAGACGAGATGAATAGATGTGTCTTATTGCTAGAATATATGTGGATCTAACATCCATTCGAAGACATATTACCTTGGTTCAGATTGTTTGACGAGATGTACATGTAACAAAACTGTTGATCGCAGTTAAATGAATAGATAGCTTCCTTTCTTTTGTTTCTCTAATATGTTTCCGAAATATCTACACTCTATATCTTTTACATAATATTTCTCCATCTCTATATTATTATAGTTGAAAGAAACGGGCAAATATGTGTGTTGTTGAATTTATGTGACAACAGTTCCTTTTTTTCGTCAGCAAAAAGAATGATTGACGTCCTGTATTGTTTATCCAGAAAAGTAAACTAATCCAAAGTTGTTCCTCCAGGGATTTGATTCTTCAATTCAGCCTGTATTGCGAACCCAGTAGTATTATACTAGTTTCGGTCACGTATTGATGATATTTTAATATTCCGTGTAGAACGGCGAGTGTGAGGAATGAATATAGGGTTTGGCATTATTATAGGATGAGGGCTGTGTCGTAACTTATTGTATCATTGATAATGATAATAACGATGACACAAGTGATTAGACAATAAGTGACCAGATAGATTTTCTAAATTGTATAAAAGATTGGACAGTTCATAACATTAGAAATGAGGTTGAATAAAAATGACATCTGTTTGTTTGTCTATTTTTAGAAGAAAACTACAAGTGTCGAACATGATCAACAATCAGAGACCATGTTGCTAAAAAAACAACCTGGTATATGTATTTATTTTCCAACTGTTGTCACATAAACTCAACACACACATACGTGCTCTTTTCTTTCTACCATCATAATACAGAGATGGAGAAATAGTATATAAAAGATATAGAGTATAGCTATTTCGGGAACATATTAGAGAAACAAACAAAAGGAAACTATCTATTCATTTAATTGAGATCAACAGTTTAGGAAGATGATACTGTTGCAATATTTGAAAAATCGCTTGACGGCAAACTCGAAGTTTGTGCATCAGCCTAAAGTGTTAAATGAATGGAAAAATGGAATAAAATGAGGTCACTCAGTTGGATGCCGCTGAATGACTTAAAATAAATGATTCTGGGTGGAGAAGGAGAACAGACGATTGGTCTATGTCACAGAAAGATAATTTAATTATTCTTCATGCTTTTGTACATCATATTCAGTAAATCGTTTTTCGCTCTTTATGTTTGAAGTGTGAAAGTCCTTTTTGTACTGAAAGATTGTCATAAACGATTTTCTATATCGCTTTTGATGGACTTGCGGATTTTGCTGTCAGCTCAAAGTGGGATAGATAACTGCAGCCTCAACTAGAAATTAGAGCATTGAGTTTTCAAATAAATATGCTTCAGGTATGGTGTATTCACAGATGCATTGCCCAGAAGCAGCAAAATCTTGTCCAATGTATTGAAATGGCCTCGGACTTGTGTTTTATGATCGGAAGAGCACGAAAAGAAAGAAATGTGGAAGAATGAGTGATATATTTCAATAGAATAACGTTTTAACTACAAAATGGCCGATTCAGATTTATTTCTGTTTCGTTCTTTTCTCGGAAAGGTTGCTTTTTGTCATCCACCTCATACACATAACTGTGATGTAATCAAAAAGGAAATATATGTGCGGGACCGTTTAAAATATTTTTGAAAAAAGTCGACGAAGATTGAGCGAAGAGTCCGAGAAAAGAACCTCTGGTTTTCCTAATTATGCATCATTTCAAGATAAAAGAAGGAATTTGTTCTCAAGCAAGATAAATTTAGATGGATATTTGGAGTTCTCTTTCTTTCTTTTATATTATTGTTATTTAGTTTTATGATAATGATGATTACACTCGATCCGTCAATGTGTGTTAGAAATAAAAAAAGAATCAAGTGTTGTCGAGATAAGAAGGATAAACGAGAAAAATAATTAAACTTTGTCGATACTGTTTCCATTATTTGACATATATAATAGTACATTCTCATGAACTTGACATACCAAATTAATATATAATATTTACCTGTTTATGTACAATACACTTTGTTTTTGAAGGCTATATATATTCTGTCTATGTAATAGTGTTTCATAACACAGATATATTAGAAATTAAATTTTATTATCCATCACATTTGCATTACAAAATAAGAAAAAAGGTAAACTTAACGTGTCAGAGATTTTCGTTCTCAGGATGAAGTTAACGTATACTCAACTATGTATCAGCCGATTCAACTCTGAAATGAGTTGGTATTGATTGACAAAATTTAAAACCGATTTTAAATCTTCTATGGTCTTTCAATATGAGAGAAATGAATCCAAAGACATAGCAGTGCTAGCTTCCCTTACTCGTATCTCAGTTTGAAACTGGCTAAGTTGAGGGGAAGTTTGAATTTGAAATTTCCAATTATGGAAATAACCGTAAGCATGAAATTAATTTTTTTGGTTTTAGATATTAAGTATTTTTGTCAATTGGATTATGATGAAATTCACTCTCTTATTATTACTAGTGATTATTTGTTTAATCAATTTACCATATGCAACAAGTATTCGATGTTTATGTAAATGTTGTAAAAGTGATGGTTGCACACCGACACAAGTTAGTTCGGATGATATGGGAGCATTATGTAATGATGGTACATGTAATCAAAGTACATGTCGTGTACGTAATCCTGTTGATTGCTTAACTGAACATACGGTTCATGGAACATGTGGATCTATGAAAACATTATTTAACCCAATTAGTTTAATGATAACATTACTTACTCTATTCATCTATCGGCATAAATACTAATTCCATTAAAAAAAACAGATATCATCCTTACCGTTACTCATAACCTAACAGAAAACTTAACAAATAATTTTCGTCATAGATTATATATTTTTTTAAATTTCTTGTTTTAAATTTATTTTAATCTTAGACACATTAATAGCACTCCAAAGTCATCTTTCATACATAGTGAGTTCTTATTCAATATTCCAGAAGGTCCATCAATCATATGGCTTTCTACAAGTTCGTGTAGTTGATTAAATTATTTGGATCGGGTATTTCTGCACAAACAATTTGATCAATTTTGCTTTCTTCCTTGGTTTACCTTCATGCGTAAGAATAATAAGCATATGACAATGTGCTGAATCACGTTTTTTGAACTTCAATAACTTGAATATCTGCCACAGTTTGTCCCAAGACGTTATTTGTCAAATATCATTCCTAAGTTCATCTAATTTTAGTTGGAATACTCTTGCAATAAGATTTCGCCTATCAGATGCAGTCTGTCTTGGGAAAAGTTGTTCTTTAATTTCTTTTCATTTTGGATTGAAAGTCACAGCGGCGAATAATCTGGTTCGCCGAGTTTCTGCACAATTGCTATTGCATCTTGATAGCTTTGTATCATTACTCGTGGGCTTCCTTGGAATCTCGATGACAAAATGAAAAGTTTTCCGGCTTTCACACCTTGTCTTTCGGCAGTATTTGCCAAGTGATCCATAAGACCTTTGTATTCTTCAACACATGAATGAATTGCAATGGCATTGTACCGTTACTGTTCTGCGCTATTCTGCGTATAAAAACCGTTCTACTCAATGAATTTTCAAATTCTTTTAATATTTTTACACTATATTTATATATTCAGTTCTGAACGAAAAAACTCTTTGTTACTTAAGAAAGCCGTGATATTCATCAAGTGTCTAAAACTAGGTCTAAAACTAATGTCTTTTCAGCTGATTCGTCAGAAAAGGCTCATTTTTTTCCCCAATCAAATTAAATAAAATCAGGAAAATTGTTAACTGAATTCGTAGCAGAATTCTTGGGCTATTTAAATATATACTTGGAATTGAAATTAAATGAAATTATGTCAATGAAATACTAAAAATACTGTGATAAAAAACACTTTTCGGCTTTTCTGTGCACTAGCATAAATGTTGATTTATCTCAGTAACTATTTATGCTAGAAAGATCGATCTAGTGTCAAAAGATTAACAAGTCTAAGCATAACAATTTGGTAAAAAGAAATTTTCTCTAGTTTTCTCGGTTAGCGCAGGACGAAACAATCTTTTGGAGAAAAATTCGACTTTCACATAATTTGTGCACTGACATTGTGGAGACATATCCCGATTGGGATATCATTTTTTGCAGCAAAATTTATTTTATACCCCGAACGGGATATAGTTTGAAATTATATTCCAATCAGGATATAATTCGATATCCCGATTGGGATATGAAAAAAATCTATATCCCAATCAGGATATCAAGAATTTTAATTTTTAATTTGTAAGAAAATGATAAATTTTAATTATATGAGAGCTGAATATTCTTCTCCTTCTTCTTTATTTATTTTAAAAATTTTTTGT